AAAAAAAATCGATTCATATTAAATACTGAGATCAGAGTCTATAAAGATATGTATCTATTCTACTTAGTAATTCTAGAAGTAAAATTACTTGTATCATTAAGATATTTTTTTAATTTGTAAGAGGTCCTGTCTGCAAATTTTTGAAACCTCCTTACACCACAAGTTAGAAAAACAAGCAACTTGTTTTCACATTCAAATAGACCAAATATTCCCCCAAAAACATCAAAAATTCAAATCCTGTAAAAAGAATCTGAAAGACCTCATAGATCGTTACCGCCCCATATACATGACGATTTTTCAGCCGTATTTTTTAATTCAATTATTTACATTTGTTTTATTCGTATATAAGCAATAGATTTTTCTTATATGAGTGATTGTTAATTTTGTTTTGATATCTCAGATGAATGTAAGAATGGTCTCAGACTCTACCTTGTATTTTCAAATAAGCTCAGAAAAATCTCCCCAAAACCTGCCTGTATCGAATCGTGCCGGGACCAGTAGCTTGCACAGCTCCTATGGATATGCCTGGCAAGATATCCTCAGCAGTCTTGATAACATAGCTAGGCTGCGTAAATGAAGGAGCGCTGGCATCTGATCCTATCGCATAGACATATACATGAGCCTGAAAATATCAGAATCTTATCTGAATGATTACACCGTGGGGTTTTCTCCTGATAAATTCAGATTTTCTGGTTTCTTACATCTGTCTCGCCAGCCGATCCTGCTCCATCCTTTGCTTCGACCGTAAGCTGATGTTTTCCAAGTGATAGCCCTTTTTTCAAAAAGACTTCGCCGGTTTTCTCCTTGACTTCGAACAACGTAGGATCGCCGCTTTTGAGATAAAAGTGTACCTGAATTAAATTCAGCAGCTTTAGATTCCTCGAGAAAATCTCCTTACGTTTTGCTTTACAACAGAAATTCTAAAGAAAACCATCTATGTATCAATTACTGGAATGCTGACTGTATTGCACTCTCGGTCGGAAAGATAGCACCCAGAGTTGCCGAAGATGTGGGATCCGTGCCAGCGCCGTGCTAGCTCCGTGCGGGATGCGCATGCACGCGCACCGTATTGATCT